GAAGATTGTGGAATCTGCAACAGATCCTTTCTGAGAAGGACAGCTTTTCGAATGGTAGAATGAAGAGTCAGAGAATAGAGTGGTATCATTCTTGGAGGGAATGGAGAGAATAGTCAGAGAATAGAGTCAGAGGGAATAGAATGGTATCATTCTTTTACTTCAACACCGCTTGCATCTTCTCATGATATTTTATGTGCCATCTTTGGCCCCTCCATTACATGAAATTCTTTTCATGCGTGCCATTCCCATCATTCATCAGGGACTTTCATGTCATGACATGCTCTGTAAACTTTCCAAAAAAAAGCTACAACAAAATCAAATAGGTATAGTTTTACATTCTTATCCATTCATTTTTCAAGAAGGTATTAGTAAGGTCTCCTTTATTACAAAAGATCTCACTGAATAATAATCCACCTCATCCCCATCTATCCCTCCATCTACACCTACCTCCACACTACCTTCTCCATCTCCACGTACCCCCCTACCACCACCTCCATTTCATGATCCTATCCCAACGGCCACACCTGTCACTCTCACACCTGCTCATATTTCCTCTCCTAGTCCAAATCCTAAGCCAACGTACAACTTTCGTTGCAACCGCAGACCAACTCCCACCTATTACCTTTACTCAACATGAAAGCCCACAACACTCCAAAACAAATATCTATATGTATTGCATCAAATAATTCAGACTTTAAGAAACAAGCTCACAGACATAGAAATATTACTTGAACAAAACGTACAACACTTAATAATATTATGCTTCAGTGAACATTGGTTCACCCAACAACAACTAGATAGCACACACATTCCAGGTTTCACTCTAGCTAGTGGCTCATATAGGCAAATTACATCACACTTATGGCGGTACTTCATTAAAAATAATATTAATTATGTATGAATCACAGATTACTCCATTCTCTTAAAAGATAAAGACTTTGAAATATCCATTATAGATTTACTGAAACAAAGAATATGGATCTTATGTATATACCACAGCCCCGCAGGAAACACAAAGATTTTCTTAAAAAATCTTGAAATTGTTCTTGTCAAACTTAAAAGATGCAGAAACTATAAAATTATATTATGTGGCGATTTTAATACAAACTGTTTGTCAAAATCAAATGAATAGAAACTATTCAAAAATTTACTTCAATCTTTCAACTTACGAACTATTATAATGAAACTACAAGAATATCTAAAAATAGCAGTACTGCCATTGAGGTGAATAATAATAGACACAAATAATTACAGCTTTACAGTTGTTACATATAACACACAGGGTTTAGTACATATTTAACTTCTTTAAATAAGTTCAGAAAACTGGGAGGAGGTGTACAAAGCAAACACACACGAATACCAATTTATCCTTATTCATAAGGCATATTCCAAAGTTATTTCAACACTGTTTTCCCACAAACACTGAAAAAATTAAAAAGAAAAAACCACAAATCATGTATAACAAAAGGAAACAAAACATCATGTGAAAGGAAATGAATCATGCATGAAACAATCCTTTACCACGAATATAGCTCTAATTTCATTACTTATTACAAAACATACAAAAATACCTTGAAGAAAGCACAAAGCCAAACTGTTAATGAATTATCAATGTCTTGCCAAAGCACAAAACAAAAGCAATGTGGAACATTGTGAAAAATACTCTAAAACAGAAAACAGAAACACTAAGAACATTGAACTTCATTATAAAAATAATGTTCTACGCAACCCACACGCAGTATCAAACACATTCATTAGACATTTCTCAGAAATTGGAGAAAAATTAATTCATGACAACTCCTTAAATAATACAAATTATGCAGTCCATTATCTACACATCAACAAATGTAAACTCCATATATATCTGTGAAACATCATCTGCGGAAATACATTAATCAATTGAAGAACAAATATTCTACAGGACTGGATACTATTCCTGACACCCTCATTAAACATACAGCAACAAACATAATAGAACCACTCACTCACGTTTGTAACCACTCCTTAATGACAGGTATCTTCCCAGAAATTCTCAAAAAAGCAAAAGTTAAACTACTATTAAAAAAAGGCAACACTCACGATCTTATGAATAACACAGATATCCTTACTATATGGATTTTCAAAAATTCTAGAAAAGCCTTTTAATGATAGACTCAAAAATATTCTCAATTCAAATAACATACTGACAGAGGCCCAACAGGGAGTCAGAAACGGTTAGATCTACAGACACAGCTATCTTCACCTTTCTAACTGACATGTTGCTCTAGATCAGAAAGAAATCCCATTGGTTTGTTCTAGATCTATCAAAGGCATTTTACATTTTCATCATCACATCCTGTTATCCAAACTTGAAACTTTGGGAATTAGAGGCATTGCACATCAATGGGTTAAATCTTACCTCTCAAATCATTATCAAGTAAGTCACAATTAAGCATGCTAGAATAAAAAGATTTCTTCCCATTCTTCCAACCTAGAATGAAAATTATGGAGTGCCACAAGATCAATTCTAGGCCATACTATTCTATTATACATCAATGACATGCCCCTGACCCTACAAAAGAGCAAAATGGTCCTATTTGCAGATTACACAAACATTATTATTAAAGCAAGTACCCAACAAACTACAAAAAGAAGCACAAACAGTCCTAGAGGCACTAGTAAAATTGTTCAAGGAAAATAAACTCATTGTTAACATCAGTAAAACTGTCTCCCTAAACTTTCGGAATCCACTCTCTAAAGAAAAGCCTCTAGCACAATTGATGATAAAAAACATGCCTGCAAAAATAGTCCAAAAAACAACTTTCCTTGGATTGATTATTCAAGATGTTCTAAAATGGAACTCCCATATCACAAATCTAAACAAGCTTATCAAGTCATGTTATGCCACATACATCCTGAAGTCAAATTTTAACTTATATACACTGCAAATGGTGTACTTTGCAAATGTTCACTTGCACCTAAAATACAGAATAATATTCTGAGGAAATTCCCCAGAAAGTATTCACACTTTCATCATCCAAAAACGAAAATTGAGAACAATGACAAACACTCACAAACATGAATCCTGCAAACCTCTGTTCAAAAAATTACAAATACTACCACTGCCATGCACGTACATATTTGAAATATTAAACTTCACAAAGAAAACACTTATGAGAAACAAGGATTCTATTACTCTTAACACAGAAGTTCATAATTCTGATACTAGACAAAAACGAAATTTGCATGTTCCACACAGTGAAACTTCACTCTTTCAAAAAAGTACCCTTATAGAAGGCATTACACTATATACTAAACTTCCTAGTGAATTTAAAAGCTTAAACTCTATACACACATTCAAAATAAACTGAAAGCTTTCCTGTTAAACCACACATTCTACAGTACAAGAGAATACATGCATCATAAACACGTCAATATAACCTAGTACTAATAATTTTTGCATTTTCTGTTGCATGTTTTCAAACCCCACTAAACTGTTTTTTGGATATAAAGGACGGGCCCAGCCTAGGCACAAATCTATGAAGAACTTCATTTTTTTAAATTATTATTATTGAATTTATCTTAAGTCTTCTTTCACTACCATATATAAAACTAATTAGCTTTCAATGATATTGTATTTGATACGAGAATTGAATTTTAAACTTAATTTATGTCTTGTATTTAATTTTTACAAATATCCGTATTGTGTATTGTATGATTATATACGTATCCTGACTTGTCATACATGGCATATGCTGTATTTATGTGACATATATTATATATCTTTATTATTATTATTATTATTAATTATTATTATTATTATTATTATTAATAATACAAAACTCATTTCACCAAATGTTATTATTAACATCCTTAAATCTTGCATTTACAGCCTGCATGAAAAATTATTTCAGATTTTACTTCAACCGACACCAAAGTAATGTTTCTAATAACACACTAATGCACATTTATTTTGCTTCATTATTGCAATTAGCCACTCCTTTTCCCTCTTATGTTTCCTTTTCTTTATATGCCCACTTCACATCATATTGATAAAACTGTCTTCTCTACAAACTCATGAACTTCTGGCCTAATGTAGGTCTTACTTAAAAAAACAACTATAAAATGCATTATTCTTCGTAAAATTATTGTTCATTTAATTTTTGATTAAATAGCTTTTCAAGATTATCACAATGAGGAAAAAATGATAGAAATAATAAGGCATCTCAATAGAAACAGGAGTATAGTTAGGTACTAGAAACACAGACAACTGGTGTATCTATAAATTACAGTAAACCGGTGTAACTATAAATTACAATGGACTCAGTGATAAATGTTGGATGAATCCCATCCGACATATGTTACTTTAAACTAAGTTAATGGAAAATAGGAACTGATAAATAAATTATGAAGAAGAATCCAACGCATGGGATTCGAAACGTAAGAAAATTGAAGAATAAATTGTCTACATAATTGGTTCCCAAAATTCATTATTAAAAACAGACATAAATCTTTTAGTTTTCTTATAGAACCCTCAAATATCAAAATATCCATTTGAAACTCCCAAAGCTTCAAGTTCATTGAGATTGATGGGGATAACAATTTTGATGAAAATCAGCTGATCTGTTTAAGTGCTAATGTTGACCACAGACAGATGGACATTTCATCAGATGTCAATCGATTTTTTAGTATCAAGAATCCACAAAAGATGGATTCTGGCTACACCACGTGTAAAAGGATTCTTTTCTATATTTAGCAACAGGATTTATCCACTTTTTCATTACTAGAGCCTGGCAATAAGAGCTTTTCTGTCCAAAATTCGCCGTTTTCTGGCATAAAATTACATAATTTTCTCTTCTTATGAATTTCCTTCATAAGGTGACAAAGTTAAAAATAAGCACAAAAATAAAACAATGTTCTCCTGGAGAGAAAAAAAAGCACAAGAAATAAAAAGAAAAAAATAACAACAATACAATATTTTAGTTTCAATTCGAAGTTAAAGGTATGAATATGGTACACTTGCCTCGAGGTTGGCGGCTGGGATGCATTATCTGAATATCAAATGGTTGTGTAAGAGTGCGCTGAATAACACTAATGTCAGAGCCATTCCATTTATTCCCTCGGATTACAGCATTAGTTCTCCAATCTGTCCAGTAAACATAGTTTCCAAATAGAGCAATGGCAAATGGATGAGTCAAAGTCTCATGTTCACGCATGACTTCATGATGGTCATCTCCATCGTATGTAGTGGTGTGTATAGAATCTGACCTGCAGGAAGGAAAAAAATTGTTGAAATGTGATGTGATTGCCAATTACATTATTGGAAAAAATTCAAAGTTTGATATGAAATATACACAAAAGGTATAGATATTTATTAAGGTAAACACAATGATCGTTAGTACAGAAAGATTTTTAAAATAGTTAGTATTTTCTTTATTAACTTACTTTGCATCAATCCAATATATTCTCTTCAAAGCATAATCTAAAGTAAGGCCATTAGGCCAAGCACCATCAGTAAGGATGTCGACATTAACCACTGTCTTCCTGTATTGGCCACTCATGCTACAACGTTCTATTCGCGGGGAGTTTACATCCCAGTCAGTCCAAAATAATAATCTGTTTAAGTAAAAATAAATATTTCATACAAATCATATGACAAGAAAATACATTGTTCCCACAATTTTAAACCTCTAATTTAAATTCAAATAAAAAATGAAGACTGACTTACCCATAGCGAGGATCCAGGGCAATAGCACGAGGTGACTCAAGGTCAGATGCAATAAGAGTTCGTCTGTATTTTCCATCTAAACGAGCTACTTCAATTTGGTCTAAATTGCTCTCTACCCAATACAAATTCTCTCCAATCCAATCAACAGCTAAACCCTCAGCTGTGGATAGGCCAGTTTGAACCACTACTTCAATGTTACTAAGAGCTACCAAGAAAGACAATTACTTAACACAAGGAAAATCACATAAAAAATGGTAAAGATGCAGATATCTCATTGCATAAATGCAGAATAAGTCAAATGGTAACTTACAACCACTGATTAATGTCCCTCTATAAATTTTGTCATCAATTACATCTGTCCAAAATATCCATATTGTGTTCTTAGTATAATAGAAGTCAAGTGCAATAGTATTCTTCAAACTCATTATAAGTGCTTTTACATTAAATGTATGCAGATCAACACTTCTCAATTCATGTCGATTGCTAAAAACTACATATGGAGTGGCAGAATCTATAAAAAAATAAACAATATGATTAACCATGTGATTTAAAAATCTTCATGAAACAATTGGAGTGGAGAATACACAGTGGAGATGAATTATCTGTGTGTTTAATAAACATCACAATCACTATCAAGGGACAGGAAAATACAAACCATTGCTTTTGCAGGTATAGTAATCAGATTGTAAAACATAGCCTGGTTCACAGGAACATTTGTGACGAGTTCCATGTTGTTCACATACTTGGGAACATGCACCCCATGAAGAACATGGATGAGATATTCCACAAGTTAAACCATCTGTTTGAAGATAAAGAGATTCAGGACACCAGCAAACAAATCCTTGAGGTGAATCGTGGCAATGGTGAGAACAATCACTTCGATAAGCACACATTTTGTCATCTGAAAATAAAAGTAACTCATCTAGGGAAGTGTGTTTTCTTCACTACCTTCTTTCATACATATCTGGTAAATATAATGAATTGATCAGTTTAAAAAAAATACTTTTTATAACTCCAAAGTTTTCCCTACACTTAAAGAATGAATCTGAATCAAGAGTATTCATTCATCCATTAGCTGGGCAATTGGTAGAGGCAAACATGTTCAATATTTGAATATCAGAATATGAATTGAAAAATATATCACAACTGATAACATTACCACAAAGTCCTCCTTCATCAGAGCGATCAGCACAGTCATGGTGGCCATCACAAAGCCTATCGACTGGCACACAAGTCACACCTCCATCACAAAGAAGAGATGGATGAAGACAATTCTCTGGTAATATCTTCTTTAATGTTGTAGGTAGGGGAGTAGTGGAATTCAAGGTATTGTCTGAAAGAAAAATAACATGTTCTTGAATTATAGTTTATTGAATGCTCTTCAACTTAGGCTACCAAAATAATTTTACATTATTCAAAAGCTAACATTTGGGCTGATTTATTTACACTTCTTCAGGGGTACAATCAAACATAATATTTTAAAACGCAATGAGATTTATACATACATAGTGACCTTTACATATTGTAACCTTCAGTCCCATGGGTAATAAAATTTATACTCCTTGTCTTTAAGTGACAGCAATTGCGTAAGAAAATGAGTGCGAGCCCACAAACAAAATTTTTACCTAGATCTCCTTCTTTAAAGTGTACAGCAAACACAAGTAGTATAAGTAACTTAAATAATAAAAAATATCCCCTAATCTCTAACTAATTTATTTTGATGGGTATAAGCGCCTCGCAAAATAATCGGTGGAACATTCATTTGTGGCGAAGCACGACTGTTAAGAAAGGTTCATTAGGTCCACCCTTTGTTGTGGTGATGACCTGGCCAGGCATGGCACGTCTGTGTTGTTCCTGGTAGTCGCCTAAGCGGCTAGCAGAGGGTGCTGTATCTGTCGGCGATAGGCACGTCTTCGGGGCCCAGCTGAATGTGGCATGCTCTGGCTGCCAGCCTATTGTAGAGCGAACTAGATCTCATACACTCCTTTTCACCATAAACTTGCGCTTATGACTGCAGGAGGATGAAAAGGGTACAATTCCTGCCTACCCGGGTCTGGACGTTTCACCGTATTAAAACCAAATTTTATTTTTGACTCTCACGAAACCTCCCTAGGGGTCGTTTTCATCACAATACCTGTAGCAGTACTATCTCGATGGAGACCCAAAATACTTCACACATTCGCTTGAATGTATGTGTTGAAACGAGTTACGGATTAGAACTGGTGCTGCTGCACTTGGCGAGAGTCTCGACAATAGGCACAGTGGAAAATTAAGAAAAAGACCAACAACCGACAAGTATGCCCATGTCCGGCTCTGCGGGGAAAAGGGAGAGCAGTGAGGTAACAACTACTGCCATTGCCAAGTGTAGCCACTCACGACCCGCCGCTTATGAAGTTCTGGGAAATTCCTCTCACAGGAAACATTGTTGGTGAAAAGTGGGAGTAGTTCATCGCCGACAAATTTGATTAGACGTTGCCTCATATATGAATGAGGCGAATGACAGAAAGCGAAAATGAACGGAGGATGAGAGGTTCTGCTGATAAAGTCCAGAGCTGCAAAACTTACTTGGGTGACAGACTTTGTAGAATAGAAGCGCTTTTTTTCGGGGACTAATGTACGCACGTGCACAAAGATCTGATATAAGCTCACTGAGACCTTGCTGATTCTCGACGTGTTCTGCTGCCGATTAACGAATATTTTCTACTACAAAAGCAGGGGCGCCCAGAGAAAATAGACACTTATTTCAAACAAAAGTTCCTTGCTTCTCCCTCAAGTAGGCTCTACATAAACAGAATTGATTTCTCCATGCCAAAGAAATAACATTAGCGTTAATTTGAATTAAAAGTAATTATTTTTTTATTTGTTTGGAATGAAAAAAAATCGTAGATCCACATCAGTCAGGGTCAGAGGCAGGTTGTAACAGTTACTGCCCCCTGAAGACTAAATAAATTAGTTAAAACACTGGCTTTTGCATGATGTAAAATTCTTTCATTGAGCAAAATTCAAAAACATTCCATGAACAGTATTGTAAAATTTGTAAATTAACTTCTAGTTAAAACAGAAATACATTTTTAAAATTTACAACAAATATTTTAATGTTCTCACAGGTGCTATTCTATTTGTTCTGAACAGTTATGTTTATACTACTAACCAACAATTACTTGAAAGGTAATATTTACTGATAATGATAAATAGTTAAACTTATAAACACTGAAAACTGTATTAAAAAACACACAAAAGAAAGTACTTACTGCACCCTTTCTCATCACTGCCATCAACACAGTCATTTTGCCCATCACAGATAAATTTTTTTCTTATACAAACTCCATTGTCACATTGAAATTCCAATCGTCCACATAATCTTCGAGTAGCATTGCCCGTACAAATAAATTCATCTGAGCCATCACTGCAGTCTTTGTGACCATTACATCGTTTGGAATTTGGTAGGCATTTGTCTTCAGCAGCACAATAAAACTTTTGGAACAAAAGAAAAAGAAATTTTTTTTGGATACATAGAAGAAACAAAAGAAGGAAACATTAGAAGCAGAAGAAAACGCAAAAGGAAAATAGTAGGGCCGAAAAAAGAGAAAAATAGATGAAGAAGATAAAACTAAAGAGAAGAGGGATGAGGGTAAGTGAAAGAAAGGAAAATAGACAAGAAGATAAGGCTGAAAGTCAGAAAACTGAACTATTTTTGATTTTGTGATATCAATACTTTACTAAAACAAACAAATAATATATTCCCTCTTTCTGGCCTAGTAATCCAGGGGCTAGGGGCAGTATGCTTAAGTGTATGCATTATATCAAGGTTGTGGCTTCAGATACAACATAAGACATGGATGTTTTCAGTTATGTAGTGACATTGTGTGTATGTATCATTCTTGAATCCAAATCTTTCCATACACTTTCATCCCTACCCCTAATAAATTAATATAAGAGGAGAGAATATAATATGTGATGCAACAGGTCTATGGGCTACTGAGGGCAATGTCATTTAGATGCAACCTGGCTCCTTATCAATGAACCCAACCAAACACCAATGGGCTCATATTGGTTCCAGAAAAAGTAGTTGCTTAGACCAACACACTCTTACAAGCCACGTCACCATAAAGGTTGGAAGGGGAGGGGTGAAAAAATGGTTGTATTTCAGGCTACGCAGCAAAGATGGGGCTGTTGGATGGGGAAAGGTGAAATGTGGAACAAGAGAAGGTCAAATGAAGTGCAAGCAGAGAGATCTTGGAACCAAGGACCCTAGAAACACATTTTCTCTCAAAGATATTTTTTAACCCTAGAACAAAAGCACACTAATTTCAGTTATTAAGAAGATTAGAAATACATTTTGTATTTTAACCATTTTCAGCTTCAAAAATATTTATTTATGAAAGGACCAAAGTGAATATTATTGGAAGCTGAGATGGGCGGCGGCTCGAGGTTGTAACGGTAGCTGTACTGGATGGTTGTACCAAGTTGGGGGTTCAAACCCGATGAAGCCGTGGATTTTTAAGGGCAAAAAATCCTTCGTAGCCTTCCTCGGAGGGGAAGTAAAGCGCGCTGGCATGTTCGTAGGATTTATCTTGATGTAAAAAAGATCCTTCAGCCTAAATACATCTGAGCTAAATTCAAAATTGCCCTGTTTCTCGCCAAGAATACTCCTTTTCTCCTAAGTGGCTGAAAGAGTAGCGTAGCCGAAATTTGCCTGGTCAGACGGAAGTGCGGGCCTGATGCCCGAGTCTCGCACGTAAAATAAGGATTCATTAAAAGGAGATTGGTAAATGGCCATATACATTGTGGCCAAGGTGCATACATTGTTTGAACACTTGCCTCATAAAATAGCCATTTCTGTACTGTAATAAAGCAAGGGAAAAAAAAGTCTTTCTACTCACTTACATGCAACTCAATTTCTATAAAAAACAAACTTTAATTGCCCCAATAACCATTGTTGTCATTCTTATTGGTTACCAGGCTGTCTTATGTCTTAAGTCTGTGTTCTGTATGATACTGTGCATCACATATAATACACAATTTAATTAAATTAGTTTGGGGAAAAGATTTTACTGGTTTAGTCCAAGAAACCACGCTTTATGAGGTGACAATTCTGTAACAATTTGCATAATTCTATTTCCTTTATATTTGTTTCAATTCTAAAAATACTAAATAGTTTTGATGTGACATCACCTTTTAATTAATGTATCATATGCTTAGCAATTTTTTGAACTATTAATAATGATATTATTTTTATTATTATTTCATAACTTAGTAGGTTTAGTTATTTTGTACTTAAAGGTTATAAATTTAATTATTAAAATGCATTGTTACTCAGTAACATGGATTTCTTTACAATTGCAGAATATATTCTCGAAGCGTAATTGCATCCCACAAGGTGACAGGATGGTGACAATGATATATAGTATATGCAGGGAGCAATAATCACGCTCGTGAAAACTGTTCAAAGGATTGGTTGTGTCGGTAGATTAGTGGTTAGAGCAGCCGGGCGTAAACCAGAAGGCCGAGGTTTGAGCCCCGGTCGGGGCAACAAAGCAATTCATTGAACAAATTTAATTATTAAAGGTTTTTGCTTAAAAAAAAATAATCATGAGTCTATATTTTAATGACACAATTTTGGAATTTCTTTGATAGTTGAAAATTGTTTTTAAAAAATAATTGAAAGGATTGTAATGACAGTCCCCATATTGCATGGAAAAGTAAGCTTTTAACTTCAATAAGTAATAATAATACTATAAATTTTATTTCTAATACTTATAAACTTATACAATTTAAACATATAATATTAAAATAAAGCAATTAATTTCATTTCATCTTTTATCCATTTTTTATTTTTATTGTTTACCGATATAATTTTATAATGCAATTTTGTTACCAAATTTAATTTATAAACACTGAGCCTACACTTTTTATGGAATACACTTCATGCTTCAAAAAATATGAAATGAGAAAGAAATCTTTCTAATGTAAAGAAAAATTTACCTCTGATTCACTTTTGCATGATTGCAAACAACCTACTTCATCACTGGCATCCCCACAATCGTCAGATAAATCACAAAGAAATTCAAACGGTATACATCTATTATTTGCACACTGAAAATGTTCACGATCACATTTTGGATAATCTGCAAATGAAAAAAAAAATGTAATGAGATAAAAGTATACAAAATTATACCCTTGGTTCAAATTAATCATTATTTTACCGGGGATCACTTACCACAGATTTCTCCCTCATCAGATTTGTCTCCTTTCCCACAATCATATTCATGATCACACATCCAAGTTTTTGGAATGCAGTGTCCACTTTGCTTACATGTGTATTGGAGAGAATTGCATGTAGTATTAGCACAAAGTATTGTATCTTCATCAGTTCCATCACCACAGTCACCATCTCCATCACAAACCCATGTTTTTGATATACATCGATTAACATCACATCGAAACTGATCTTTCTGACATACTTTTTTACCTATAATGGTAAGAAAAGAATTTCATATTTACTAAAAGTCAAGGAGAAAAAAAAAGAGACAGAGAAAATACAAATGTTATTTTTAGTTTATCCAATAAAAGAAGCAAGAGAGAGATCAAAATTAATTAAGTTGTTCTCAAGCAATTCATATCTGGTGAATGCAGTAAAAACACATTTATTAACAGTGTTTCAAATGTGAGAAAGACTTCAATAATTTTGAAATTACAAGAAGTTCTTAATTAATATGTACATGTGAATAGTAAGTAGAAATAATATGGAGAAATTTGAGAAAAAGATTAGAGTAAGTGTTGAGAAAAAGATCTATTCATTTATTCAAACAAGCAGGATGAAACTATTATATCTCAGGACCTGGTAAAAGCAACTCATCACCAAAAAGGCAAATATCATCAGCTTATTTACTGAGCAAGGCTTTTACCACTGATGTCTTGAGAAGGTCTTATGACACATATGCAAGACCCATTATAAAGTATGCATATATGGTCTGGCGCCCTCTCTACAAAAAACATTTTCAGCTCTTGGAAAAAAACACAGAGAAAATAACAATAACTTTCTCAAGAACTATGATAACTAGAGTACACAGAAATGTTCAAAATATTAAAACTGGGACAGAATGAAGAGATTTCAAAATATCAATAGCCTCTTAAGACGGAGGATTTTGATAACCCTTTTATTAGAGTGTACAAGTGTGACTGAGAGGGCACTCAAAAATACTGCATAAGGAGAAAACATGCACAAATCATTGCACACAGTTCTTGTGTACCAAAATTGTAAACCAGTGGAAGTTTACCTTCTTGCAGTGCAGTCACAATCACAATCATAGTCAATCATCTGAAAGATTCTCAGGAGTAAAATCAGGTTGGGTGTTCAATGGAACTTCACCACTGAAAAGTAACTACCGAGCTTGAATTAAAGAAAATTAACCATTTTGTTGAAAATTGTTAATGTGTTTACATGAATAAAAAATGAACTACAGAAAATTAGCTCTATTGCTTGAAAATGAACATTTCTGGAACTGTTAAATCATTTCAAAAAATTGAAGCAAATATCAGCCTTACTGCTTTCATAATAAGTAAATGAATAGAGAATTCTTAATCAATTTATATAAAACTGTCATTACAGGCTACACCAGTACACACACTATTAGTAATATATGAACCCAATAAGAACCAATTCCAGTGGTAGAAGACAGATACATCCAACATTGTATGTTGGTGATCTTTATATTTGGAAAAGTCTCAGATCACCAACTGAAATGCACAGTGAGCAAGAAAGCATGGGTTATTATTAAGAATATATTTGGATTTGCACTAAATTAAAAATCTTTAACATTTTTATTTTAATGCAAGATTTTAGTATAGTAGACCTACAATAATACAAGTCAAGGTTAACGTAGCCAGTCACTAGAAAAATAACCACAAAATTATCCATTGAATTAGAACCCAAAATATATCAATTAGTAGTTGCTGCAGTTGTAGGAAGCTAGCATGTGTGCTAAGTAATGCTATCAGTGATTCTAGGAATATAGGATCTTCCCTAATCTGATAATCATTAGATTCACTCATCAAACATTACGATTGTTGTTTTTCATTACCACTTTTATTAGTTCTCTTTTCAAATACGAGAAAAATGTTCATTCATTTATATTATGGTCCAAAATTTGTATATTTAGTGTATATACTTCATTAGCAGTGCACTATGAGTGGGAAATAAAATATATTATATTCAAAACAAGCAACAACACACCAGATTTGGTAGCTAAAGTCATTTGAGTAACTGGGATTATAACCAAAGATCTGGATTCAATTCTTGGTTGGAGTACTAAATTCTTCGAACAGCCAAACAATGGGTATACCAACTACGTATAACAATTACTTCCTGATAAATTGCTATGGGATCATAATGGTAAATGGCAATTGTGAAACAGGAAACCTATTCCCATGTAATTATTAAAACTTGTGACTGTGTGATGAGATAAAGTCTACACCATTCCAGAATGAGTGACACAAGACAGGAAGTACACATTTGAAGATAGTAACATGTATATATCTAGGTTGTGCTCTTGACTGTCTGGGTGATGCTAAATCAAAGGTTGTGTTGCTGATGTTCTGTCCATCACGTCTTTAAGGCTGGAAAGTTGAACACAGAGTCACCTGGACATCCAAAAGCATTCTTACAATTTAGGTTAAGGAACCCTCTGACACTGTCTCTGGGATGGATAAAATGTAGGTACCACAGTGACAATTGTTGAAGAACACATTCACGCAAGCAATTTAGCTAGCTGAACATAATTTTCCACGGTAAAATTGACATGAAAGGTGAAGATGAATAAAATGGAATGACACCTTTATCTTCACCCTTCTTACCAATTCCACTCAAAAGAAGATCACTGATTGCTACGAAATTGTTAAATTGACTTGAATGCGATGTTTGATTTCATAGCTCAGTAGTTAGAGCACCTGCCTGAATAACAGAAAGTCCTGGACTTGGATTTCAGTGGGATCAAATATTTGCACTTCATGACAATCTATTTTCAACAATTTTACAAGCTTACCACATTCTTCACTCTCATCTGAACCATCCCAGCAATCATCATCTCCATCACAGAGATATCGTCGCTCAATACACCGTCCAGTTTTGACACACTGGAAGTGTTCTGGTTTGCATTTTGAGGGTGGGACATAATCTGGTTGTGGCACACAATCCGTATTATTTTTGTCATAACCTGTACGACATGCACACTCTTTTCCATCAGGAGTTGCTAAACACAAATCAGGACATCCTCCATAATTGACAGAACATCCATTTGTACCTGTAAGAAAGGAACTTTTATGGAGTTATCACTGCTATTCATTGAAATAAATGTAATAAATTCTAATATCTGTTGAACAAGGAAAAAAGAAGAAGAAGAAGATTATATTCTGAAGTTCTCCTGTTTTGATTATTCAACATTACTTGTCACTGAAAAGTCAATTTTATTTACTCTGTAGAAACTAACTTTTAGTTTGTATTCATCTTTACAATTTCCATTGTCAGGGAACTATGAAATAAGGTTAAATTGTCTGGTTTAATTCCAAAGGAAAGTAAGAGGAAAGAGTCTTCATTAATAAATGAAAGAATATCCAAGAGATTCAGAAAAAAACAACACATTTTTTAATTTCATATGTATATAAAATATTGCCATCCAATAGTAACTATAAATCAAGTTATTAACTTCAAATCAAATACTACCTCCATGTGTCCTCAAATACCACCTCCTATTGTCAAAGATACCTCAAATAAATTAACATTTGCATAGTAATTGTCATAACTATAAAGCAAGGATCACTCAAAAGTACAAAAGAGAAATTCATAAATTAAAAACAAACCATTCTGGGAAGAGTTGTCCACCACTTTAAGATCATATAAAGGCGTGTTTTCAACAGACAAAGTTGACAAAGTTCGGTTTGCAACATCATAACGCATTACTTCTCCTGTGTCAGTATCAGTCCAAAATAAAGCACCATCATGAACTGCCAATCCCAAAGGATGTTTCAGAGCATCATCTGACACAACAACCTGTGTATCAATAGCTCAATTACTCTCTCAACCTCTGAAGGAACATTTTCAAGTTCAAACTACACTTTGCCAACTAATGAAAATTGAAATCAATTTCAACAAAAGATAACATGCCAGCCTAAGAAATAATATATCCAAAAATCTCAATAAAGAGGTTGCAGCATGCAAATGCAGATACATTTTAATTCATATTTCCTGTCATACAGATCTTCTGTTTTGGGTTGTTTCTGGTATTGGCCAAAGTTATAACTTCACATGCTGTTCACAAGCTATTGTGAACAACTGCAGATACACCTGAAAGAGCTATGATTATCAAAACTCCACACGCTGACCTTTTGGTGACTGAAATAACACTGTTTTTTGGGTTCTCATGATCAACAATGTACAATTGTTGCTAATAAGATGTGTGTTAGATATGATGCTTCTCATAAATTTGTGGATCTGCTAAGCCAATGAGGAAGAGTAAATTTGAAAGAACATTTGACACAGACAATGGCAGTCATACAAAGGGCCCAGTCGTTGATTTAGAAAATGATGTAATTGAGAAAAGGCAAACTGTCATTATAAACTTTTAGACGTGTGCTCTGAAAAATGTGGTTTAACCATGGGTGGAACCATATAGTATATGTTAATATAAATATTAACTCAGATAACTAACTGTTTTCAATATTAACTCAGTAATCTTCTGTAACTGAGATACTGCATCTTTTCCATTGCACTCTAACATACATTTAACTTTGAGCAATACAATACATAAAACATACAACATAAATTACATTTTGTATAAAACATCAATTACGGTACATAGTGTTAGAAACAGTTCTGAGTTGTGTTTTATATGTTCACAAATGTAATTAGCAAAGATTTAGACATGGGACAATAGCACTGTTGCCTAAATATGTATAAAAAACATATCTAAGAAATAATAAAATAACTTCTTCTGCCAAGATTAAGATGATGCACAAGAAAATGAAACTCTGGTGTGCATTTGATTTTTAAGGGCAAATAAAACTACCAATAATTTGAAAATTAATAGTAATTAATTTCATTACACATTCATAACATATTGCTAATAAGCCAAATAAAAATAAACAAACAAACCTCTAATACACGTTTATCTAGAGTCATACTCCAAATTCCTGTAGTTGTAACATCACACCAATATAGCTTCTTATTGGCACTATCAATAGTCAAGCCACTTGGAAGTTTCATTGGATGACTCACAAATATAACTTGATTGGTGCCATCCATCCATGCTCGCATAATTTTAGCTGTTCTATCTGCAGCTATTGGCCAATCAGCCCAGTACATTAAACTGGGAGGGGAAAAAACAACAACAATAATTAAAATTGCATAAAAAAAAATCAAAGAAATGCATTTCTTGTCCTGCACTGCAATGCATTTCTTCTCTCAAAATTCATCAAAAATTGTACTATTTAAAGAATTTTGAAACAGATACTTAAGTGAGCATGGTACTAAAGATTAATTGGTATTTCATGCACATTATGAATAACCTACCCATCCTGAGGATCAACTACAATTGAACGAGGATCCATGTATGGTTCCTGCACCAAAACTTTGCGTCTTTTAAAATCATCTAAACGAACAACATTGATAGTACTAAGTCCACTATCAGTCCAATATAAATTACGACCTGCCCAATCAACAGCTAATCCATGGCAGTTCTGAACATCTTTTATCACAATTTCATCTTCAGTGCCATCAATATGTTGCCTTCCTATCACAAACCTGTAGGAATTTTTTCACAGTAAGTATTACAGAATTGACATTTATTAAATATTAATTTATTCATGTTAACGTATTTTCAACAGTCATGAGTGAAGATTTTTACATCGAAATAACAATTTTATTCTTTGTACATACCGCTGAGAATCTGAATAATAAATATAACTACTTTGGACATCATAGTCGAGAGCAACTGGTCGTATGACATTAGTTATAGGAACTATAACTTGTTCTTTCTCTCCAGGGGTCATGGGAAGGCCTTTTATCATTGCAGGTTTTCCTTTCCCAAATATTAGAAACTTGTGAAGCTTAGTTCCTGTGAGAGAAAGTTGAAGTGTTGGTATAAAATTAAAAAGAAAATAAATATTTGAATTTTTAAGAAAAAGAAAAGAACATGAATATTTCATACAGGGTGTGTTAAAAATGAAAGTTAAAGTTTCCTTGCATTAGATAAAAGATATTTCTACTGATTTGGTTAATATAAACTAATGATCTGCAAGTGACACCAGGGGGTGAAATTTCAACATGATTTCTTATATGTAAGCTTCGATGGCTCGAATCCATAAATTCTCGGCTATCCGGGAGACGCCGCATCGTTGGCTGAGGTACCGATGTTTCGCCTGAGGAAGCCTGCGACATATCAGGCGAAACGTCAGCACCCCAGCCAACGACGCGGCGTCTCCCGGATAGCCGAGAATGAAAATGATTTCTTATTTTTAATTCCCATTTAAATTTTGGCTCCTTGGTGACTTAGGTTATTATCATCATCTAAACAGGCTCAAATTTTGGAGTGTTCATAATTTTGCATTCTGAACCGATAAAAGGCTGGGTAGCAAGAAAATGTTTACTTTCATATTTTAATGATTTACCCCAATATATTATTTATTTTTATAGAAATATTTCATAACATTAGACCTCACAAATTGACCTACTAGAGCAGCTGTGACCATCTTCAGCTAATTTATATCCAGGTTTGCACAAACATTGTGGTACTGCAACAAGTGTTGGCTTCCATGTGGGGATGCATAAGTGCTCACAGAGTCCATTGCTGTTATGACAAGGATGAGGAACTGCAGCAACAACATTTCAAGTCAAGCAATAGTTAATTAGAGAAAGAAGTAGATCTCTACAACAAATTTTAATTTCAAACTCAAATAAAACAATCATCAAATGAGAATAGGTATTCATGAATGTATTAGTGATTCCGGGTGCATCAACTGCTACGGTCATTAGTCCTGTAAGTGTAATGTATGTGCTTTCCTTGAGATGAGGTGATCTTCTCCTGCTTGATGGTGAGATCCAGTGCCAACCTACCGTTGGGTAACAGGGTTTCCCCCAACCACATATCTCCCACTAGTGGGACACTGCCCCAGCTGGGACAAGCTCTAAGCTTCTAATCGCTCTCCCAGCATGTGTGGTAGTGTAGTACATGTAAGTGTACCTGTGTGTAAGTGAGGGGTGACAATAGGACGAGGAAGAGGAAGGAAAAATCAGGCAGGGTCCATGTTTCACTTGTTAGGGTACTGCTCAGGCATTTGCCTGGTATCAATTTTTGACAAGGTTGCAATTACATTAAGATTTTAACAACAACCAGTAATTATGACAGCACATTTTACGATTAATTCATAACAACACCTATACAAATATATTATACCTACCATCAGGTTGACGTTGTCGATGATACACTTGTATGTGAAATGGCCGACTTGGCAAAGGAATGCTTTCATGATCATCTGAATCAAATTTATTCACTCTAATAATACTATTGTTACGCCAACTGGTCATAAAGAGATTATTTTCAAAAACAGTAATATCATATAAATTTTGAACCTGTAAATTAATTAAGAAAAAGATATGAAATTATTGTTGGCTTCAAAAGCAATCAATACTGAAATGACAAATATATAATAAGATGTTCACAACTTACTGGGAAACCTCTTTTTACAGTTTTCCTGTTAGTTCCATCATAATTCACTCTCTCTACAACATCTAAATAAGTTTCAACCCAGTATACATGCTGTGCAGGAAAATCTACAGTCACACCATACGGATATATGATCTTATGCTGAACCAATGTAGTTCGTTCTTCACCATCTAGTCGGCTACGTTCCAATCGAGAAGGTGAATTACCCCACAAAGTAAAAAACATGTAGCCTTTTGTTGGGTCTAAAGCAATACCACGAGGTTTTGAGAGGTCTCCTTCAACAACAATGGCACAAGCTTCAAGAGTAGAATTACAAAGAAATATTACTTCTCGTTCATCATCTAAAAAATACCAGTTTCCAGAGACCCAATCCAGTGAAATATGCATAGCAGCTGCAAAAAGAAACAATAGTTGAAAATTTTACACACACAATATCATTATGCTTTTTAACGCAGTCATATTAAACCACTCACACGAAAGAGAGAATATTGATGGTGTAGGCAAATCCCATGATTCCTGCAAATTCTTCACCGGAGAACAGCTTAAAATACTGGGTCCAGATGAATCTGATAGATGTATATAACAAACTGAACGATTTCTATGATCAAAATCTAATGCCAAAATTTGCTTTTGAGGTAAAACACTACCACCAGGAAAAGTAGTTCCATTCAAGTATAAATGTTGAATATCATCTGAGCTACTTGAAATGAGTGTCGGAAGTTCATCCTCAGGAACTGGAAAAAGAAAAACTCTAAATAATCTAACCATACTATTTGTGATGAAAAAACAATAAAATATTTTTGTAGTATGCAAACAATTTTATTACATTAAGTTGTAACAAAAATGAAGTTAATAGTCTCTCATTGCCAGTCGAAAACACTTGAGAACAAATAATATAATTAGAATGCAAAATGCCAAGTGTTTTACATATGTTTTAAATACTCTAGATTCCAGGTGATACATACAAATTTCTACATTCCACTTCACACAAAATCTCTCACTCTCTGGTTATTATTAGCAAATTAGAATACATTAATAAACAATCAAACAAATTTAATAGAATGATCAAATAAAATAAGACTATTTGTTTATTCCGAAGTATACTTGCCATTAGTTGCAAAACACCTAGTGTTGTTAACACGCTGATATCCCGGAGCACAGGAACAATTGAAACTACCATTAGTGTTGGCGCACTTTTGATCACAAATTCCATCCACTTCACATTCATCCACATCTGAAAAAACTTATCTTCATAAAACACTTACAATTTCTAATGTATAACTTACACACGTGCACACATGCATGCACAATCACACACACACAATCACACAGATGGTTACTGATTATAAATGATTAACACAAACCAATGCAACTGGTTCCATTGGCACGCTTTCCCATTTCACAATAGCAGATGGGGCCAGTGGAGCTTTCTTGGCATCCATAAGAACAATTCAACCTAGAGCATGTTGTGTGGTCTGAAAATTACCATAAATAATTTGAAATTAATTTTTTAAGCAATATGATTACTCACTATCTAACTTCATCTCAATGCCGTGAAGAAGAGTATATTCTATAATAGGTATCATAAATAGTCTCAAATAGTTAATTCCAATTATTTAGTACATTATTTAATTATCACTAGCTCATGCATTTTGAATGAGAAATGGATGTGTAACAAGATTAATATGATCACAGATACTAATATTGTGGTACTGATGATACGGGGACATAATTATCTATTAAATGTATTTTGTAAAATTTAATAAAAAACACATATTTTCAATTGTCCAAGAATAGTAATGTCTTTGCAGCTTTACTCTAAGTAACACTTACTGCAAAATGATCCTTCATCAGATCCATCAGGACAATCCTCATTGGAATCACACAAACTTGAAACAAGTATGCAAGTAGAAGAATTACTACATTGGATATGGTTCCAGAGGCATGCAACTTTCTTCTGGCCTAAAAAGAACCAAACAAATAAAATTGTATTCACAAGACAAAAGAAATCATAAATGAATAACACTTGTTGTGGTGGTGGTGGTAATGGTGGTGGTAGTGGTGGTACTAGTGGTCGACGTCGTGGAGTTTGTCGTAGTCGTGATCATCGTCGTCGTAGTGGTCGTAGTAGTAGTAGTCGCCGTCGTCGTAGTAGACGTCGTCGTCGTAGCAGACGTCGTCGTCGTCGTAGCAGACGTCGTCGTCGTCGTAGCAGACGTCGTCGTCGTCGTAGTAGACGTCGTCGTAGACGTCGTCCTCGTCGTAGTAGTAGTAGTAGACGTCGTCGTCAACGTAGTAGACGTCGTCGTCGTCGTAGTAGACGTCGTCGTCGTCGTAGTAGACGTCGTCGTCGTCGTAG